TGATGTTATGGATGTAAATTGCTTCTGTGGCCATAATTGTTTCTGCAGCGGCACACAGCTTTGTCAGTGCACACCTCTCTGTCTATGAGGCCTCCGCGAACTGCCGCATAAAAGGCTTGGACAAAATCTCTTTGCAGAACACTGCAGAAAGTTAGTTTAAGTGAAAAATACTCTAAATACTTGTGTAACACTTGTTTTACTCCTTGAACCAGTTTGGATCCTGAAAAGCCATTATGCTGGATTATGAGGCATGAGGCGTTTACAGAAAGGTTTAAGTTATTTAGTTCCCTTTGGACGTTTAAACTATCAAAACCGGGCCCTTTTATTTTGAAGAAGGCTGCCAGAAAGCAACATTATGAAAATGTATTTTGCCTTATGGAGACACACAATCTGCCACAGGTAATTAAACATAGTCAAACATTTTTATTTCCGCATGATTCATTCCTTTGAGAAGAAGCTTCTGTACAGCCGCTTGTCCTTGTGCTGATCACTACAATTATCCACACTCCCTTAATCTCTCTTGACACCATCTCCTTCAAAAAAAAACACAAGTGTGTCAGTGTGGATATCTTCTGTTCTGAAACTTCTGAAGCAAAGAGTGCATGACTTTTTGGCTGCGAGCCCTGTTAGCTAGAGGATGAAAAGAGAGAGATTGATGGTTCGCTGACCACATGCAGGTGTGTTTCTGCATCCCAACAGGAGTAGTTCCCATGCACTAGACCGTTTTGCTCCTCTCATTCGATGCTGGCATGGTGGATTGTCAGGCCGTGCATTTTTTTTTTTTTTTTTTTTTTTTTTAGCTTTGCAGGGGGGTGTTAAATTTATCTGAGGTTTCCATGGAGGATTTGTTTTTATGGGATTTCTCGAATCTGACTGCTCATTCTTCTGCAGGATGTAGATTAGCTGGCAGCCTTCTGCAATACAGTTCTGATGTGTCTATGTTTACCCTGCAAGTATTTGGTAAAGATGTCCGTATTGTTACAGGTCACTGTAGCCATGTTTGTCATATCATTACTGTTGAAAGCTATATCTAGACCTGTTCATGCTACAGACCTGGTCTACATCTAAATATTTCCATCCCAATGAAATGAATAAAGAGCTGGATATAAACATCTAATTTTGATTCACTAAGTAGATTTACTTGGGAAATGTGGAACCTTTTGTGCGGATGATTACATTTTGCTCGTAAAAACAGCATGTTTGCTCAGATATTGCCTACTGCAGGTGGAGTTCAGTCTCCAACATCAGGCAGTGGATGTTCTGAAACACTCATCCACTGTAATCTCCTGCAAACACTGTTACTCTGACGCAGCCCACAATGTTTTCTTGTTTGTTTGCTTATTGCATTTTTTTTTTTTTATGTTTAAATTTGTCAGTCGCGCAAACATACCAGTGGCAGCAGTGTTAAATCTTTTAAATCCTGTCCATATTTACCCTGTTACTTTGCAGCTGTACCCTCTTTTTTGTCTTTCATCTCCACTATTCTCGAAACAGTTGCAAAAAAAAAAGCAGGTTACAAGATGTGTTTGCTACCTTACAAAATGCTACAAAAAAGAGAAGAGGAGCAAGTGAGCATGTGATTCACATCTCTAATGAAGGCTGAAGCCAGAAGCTGTTGAGTGAGAACAATTCATTTAGGAGCTGTGAACAGAAATAAAAGCATTAGACAGAAACATAGGGAAATAACTAGATAATTGTTAATATTGGTTGTTTCATTCTCGAAACAACCTTGTAATACATTTTCTTTTCATATAAATGAACCAAAACGCAACAAATTAAAGACACATCTTTTGCTCCCAATATTATAAAACATGTTTCACAAAGATTTTAAATGTTTGATTGTTTATGGTTGACACAAAGATTGTGCAAACCCTTCATAAATATGACTGAATCTAATTACAAACTTTTAAAATATACAATCCAAGAAGAATACAAGAAGAAGAAAAAATACAAATATTCTGCGTCATAACTGCATGCACATCAATCAAAGCAAACAGCTAAATAATTTACTATATATCAGGGGAAATACTCTCAGAACTCTCAGGCTGCTTTGATGATTCATGACAGCGGTCACAAGTTCAAACTCCCCTACAGGGACATGACAGACAAGCAGAGTTGCAGTGTATTGGTTTACAACTCACAGCTAAACTTTTAATTGCATCTACGATTTTGTTTATGTGAAGTCGAGTTAATTTTTCATGAACTGTTTACATTACTTTGTCTGCCTCTTCTCTTTAGAAAGTTTCAATAATATTCAATAAGGTCCTCAAGTCCCTCCTTAGTGTAAATAGCCAAATAGCCCTTCCTACATTATGCAGCACACCGAAAGGTACTTAACAATAACTGAAAACAACCGAGGGGCATGTATGCATTGAAGCATTTAGCTCATTTGTCTGCGTGCTGCTTGCTTGCAGATATTCTGTGACCCATTAACAGTGCACACCTCTCTTCTTTGGTTCGCCTTGTATCAAACCACACGGCACCAAAGGGGAGGCGAGGCAGAGATCCAAGGGAACAACAGACTAATGGTGAGCAGAGACATGCTTTTGAGAGGACTATGACAGGGTGAGAGGTCCGTGGAGAAAACGCAAGCAGTCGCAGATGGGCAGGAGGGAAGAGAGTTGTACACTCGTATTCTTTCTTCCCACAGTACAATCAAAAGGGAAGATGGAAAGACTCAATGTGAAGAGAAAGAATATGAGTTAGAGATCAAGAGCTGAAATTACATTTTGTTCTCTTGGCAGACGAAAACCCTTTAAACTCCAATCTAAAGCCCAGAAAGAGTGTATAGAAGTGACAATGCAGCTGCAATTGAAAGGTTATTTTCCAACTCCTTTTTTTTCCTCCAGAATTAGAGCTCAAGGTCAAAACAAAGTGGTGATACAGTGAGTGGATCTGGGCTGTGAGGCCAGATTACAAAGATAGTACCCCTGCCCTTACTACACTGTGAATCATAAATCATGCATGGTTCTCTGGTAAGAAAATCACTGCTGCATTTGCTTTTGCTTGTTTTCGATTAGCAATGACACCAGTGACCCACATCCTCATTCATATTCCTGACTTGACGAGATAAAATCGCATTCTGCGTCGAACAGATAAACTTGTCACCCGCTTTGTGCACCCAGTATCTTGGTAATATTTCATTACACGCTTAGGTTTTTGCATCTGTCACAGTGGCTCACATTTAAACGCGTGCTTACACGATGTATGAGCTTTAAAAATGAACTGAATTATTCCACCATCCTATTGGAAAGGCCTTCCCTGCATGCTTTCCATAAATTGGTGAAAGACAGAACGAAAGGAAAATCACAAGGGAGTAACCGATAGACACAAGCTTTCATTCTGACAGTCTGCTTTTTCACAATGCCCCATTCACACTGGACTGCTGCCCGATGTGTCTGACATATGCAGCCAACAGAAATTAACAGTTCTGGAGGAAGTGAAAATGAAAGCTGTAATTAGTGTTCCATTGGAAGTGCTCAGACCACAATCCAAGCTGCCTCGGTCCCATGAATTTAATTCAGTGAGAGTGATGTGGCATTTGTGTTGGAGCACTAGCCGATCATTCTAATCCTCACTATCAGGTTGAATATTTTTTTAGTGCTTACAGCATTATGGTAGACAGCCAAAGTGGTTCTAACAAGCACTAAGCCGATCATTTGAAGCACTCTTATAAAACCCACTCCTGTGGTGAATGAGTTACAGAAAGAATGTGCAGTGCCAATTCAGCTCCCATGTGTTATGACAATGTTCATTATGATGAAAATTTGGACGAGCACTTTATTAACCTCTCATAATGGAATTCCTGTTTTGAGATTTAAAAGATATTCATCTTTACATTGCTGTTTATGATTGAGTTGTATCATGATTTCCCAGTTGTACAGCTGTATGGATGTATGACTTCTTTACTTCATTTCATTATGTACACTACTGTTGTGCATCATTGTTTTAAATATCAGGGATTAAGGTGCTTTTATGTGCTGATAAAAAGCCCAAGCTTCATTACTTTTACAAAGCCAGTCGCATTCATACTAAACTTAATGAAATACACTAAAAAGACAATACAAGAGTTCAATATGAATAGAGGGAGTCTTTAAAAAGGAAAAAAAAAAACAGATATAGAGAAATAAAAATATAAAAAACCTGAGCTTTGAAATTCTTTGCATGTTGGTTTTCTAAGAGTGCCTCACAGATTTAGCAGTGACTGAACCCGCATGATTGATGTGAGAAGTAGAGCTTGAAGGTTTTAGCAAGTTAAAGTTCCCCAGAGTCAAAATCAAATGGGGGGGTTTAAAGTCCTCTGACATCCTCCCTCTCTCCATTTATCACCGCTTGGCAGAAATCTCTGTTTTATATCACTGCAAGGTCAACAGCTCAGCGGTGGCATGGGATGTGTTAACTTTGTGAATACTTGGGGCAACCATTTCAAACAGTAGCATGGCAGTTTTTGGGTTCTAATTCAACATAGTTTGTACAAGCGGAGACAATGTGTCAGTGATAGTGGAAGTAATTGTTTTCAGCACACTGTGAAGTCTGAAGCACATCAGGGTGGTTATATTGTGTGACCGAGCCCTTTTATTGATTGGCTGATTTCATTACTTTGGGGGAAAGCCAACACAATAAAATTTCATGCAAGGAAAGGAGAAAGGCAGCTTATATCTTTGTAAAGGTGCAGATATAAAAGCAAAATTTTGATAGCAACTGCATGGTTTCCCAAGCATTATGGCAACATCATTCATTAAAAAAAACACAACTCTTTAATAACTCATAAATCTGCTTATTGTGACTCTAATTGTGAAAGTATTGACATATTTGTTGAAATGAAAATATTATTAAAGACTGAATGGAAACCGGATTTCAAAATGCAAAGCATGGAATTGTTTTCATTTTCTCATTACTGTTCAGGTTTAAGTGGAATACAGCACTGTCCAAACTTGTTGAAGCAGTGTCCGTGTCACATATTCCAAACTAACAACGCTTCTTTTTTCATGTCTTTACAGGTAAGCAGTAGGATGGTGTTTGGGGACACCGGAGGGCACTGCTACTTGGTGGCATGCTGGCAGCCCATCCTGATCCTGATGCTGGGCACCGTCCTCTCTGGCTCCACCACTGGTTGCCCCTCCCGATGTGACTGCAATGCTCAGGAGCGTTCAGTCGTGTGCCATCGACGGAGACTGGCAGCTCTTCCTGAGGGTATACCAACTGAAACGAGACTGCTAGACCTCAGCAAGAACCGCCTAAAAACCCTCGGTACCGAGGAGTTCATTAATTACCCTCAGCTGGATGAGCTGCAACTTAACGAAAACACAATTTCATCCATCGAGCCTGGGGCTTTCGGCAACCTAATGAACCTTCGAATCCTAGGTTTGCGCAGCAACCAGCTGAAGCTGATTCAGCTCGGGGTGTTCACAGGTCTGACCAACCTTACACAACTGGATATAAGTGAGAACAAAATTGTCATTCTGCTTGACTATATGTTCCAGGAGCTGTATAACCTGAGGGCTCTGGAGGTGGGGGACAATGACCTTGTATTCATCTCACCACGATCATTTCATGGCCTCAGCAACCTTGAAAGCCTCAACATTGAGGGATGCAATCTGGCCTCAGTGCCCACTGATGCCCTTAGCCATCTGCATAACCTGTTGTCACTTCGATTACGCTATTTAAATGTAACTGTCATAAGGGATTACTCCTTTAAGAGGCTGTACCGGCTCAGAGTGCTGGAGATTTCTCATATGCCTGCCCTGGATACCATGACCTCAAAATGCTTGTTTGGACTCAATCTCACATCATTGTCTATCACAAGCTGTAATCTCACTGTCATACCCTACCAAGCCATAAGTCACCTTAGATATCTTCGTTTTTTGAATTTGTCATTCAATCCAATTCGCACTGTTGAAGGGAACCAACTGCACAATCTACAGAAGCTTCAGGCTTTTCATCTGGCTGGGGGCAGATTAGCTGCCATAGAGCCCTACTCATTCAGAGGACTCAACCACCTCCGTGTTCTCAATGTTTCCAGCAACAGCTTGAGCACCCTGGAGGAGTCAGTGTTCCATTCAGTGGGCAATCTGGAGACCCTGGCTTTGTATGACAACCCTTTGGCCTGTGATTGTCGTTTGCTTTGGGTCTTCCGTCGGCGGTGGAGGCTCAACTTTAACAGACAACAGCCCATGTGTGCATCACCTGAGGTTGTGCAAGGAAAAGAGTTCAAGGACTTCCCAGACATCCTCCCTTCTGACTATTTCATCTGTCAGAAATCAAAGATTGTGGATTATAAGGTTCAGGAGAGCCATGTAGATGAGGGAACTACGGTTCTCTTTGCTTGCCAAGCTGAGGGTGATCCAGCCCCTGCAATAATGTGGCTTTCTCCTAAAAAGGAATACATTACTACTAAAACTGTGGGGTCAAGACTTTCTGTGTCTCATGAGGGCACACTGGAGGTCCGTTACTCCCAAATCCAGGACAATGGCACCTACATGTGCATCGCAAGCAATGCAGCCGGCAATGACACAAAAGCTGCCCACCTTTTTGTGCATAGTTACTCCCCTAATTGGCCCCACCAGCCAAACAAGACATTTGCCTTCATTTCCAACCAGCCCAACGATGAAGGTACTAATGTAACTCGGGCCTCAGTTCCATTTCCATTTGATGTAAAGACACTTATAATCGCAACCACCATGGGATTTATCTCTTTCCTCGGAGTTGTCCTTTTCTGTCTTGTAATATTGTTCCTCTGGAGTAGAGGGAAAGACAATACAAAGTCAAGTATAGAGGTTGAATATGTACCCCGCAAAGAGGAAACCGAGGAGGCCAGTCCAACTGAGCCACCGGTACAATTCAACATGAAGATCATGTGAACCTCAAAAGGAGGCCATGTAAGCTTACAAACTGCAGTCAGGATGCATACTATCCTCGCTTCAAATAAGTACTTGATTTAAGAGCGATAGATACATCTATCAAACTACATCTTGAAAATATACCCAACACATTTTTTTACTTCAGGGACTGAATCTTTAAAACAAATGTTGAATTTCAAATAATCCAATTTCTGTAAATTTGTATTGGCATTTCTCAATCAGTATGTTGACATGCACTTAAAAACCCAATTGCTGCGTGGAACCAATTTGAGGTAATGGGTCAATGATTTTTATCATGGAAAATTTTGCCTTTATATGAAAGTTGAAGCTGATAGGAAGTGAAAAAAAAGACATCCAAATAAGGGCCAGGGTGGAATCATACCCCTCAGCCCTTTGAGGACCATTAAGCATAAATGGTAAAAGATGAGCTACCATGGGGCCTAAATTGTTGTTATACACACATAAAGTTTAATGCTTAAGCTCTCGAGTATTTTCCTTCCCTCAGCACAAATGAGAGAAAGATGTTGTCGTCAGGGTCTTTATCTTGTTTTTGTTTCTTTGTTCTGATTGATGTAAAAAGCACAATAACCCATTAGTACTCCATATCTGTTACTTGACATGCTAAACTGAAAACAGTGTATCTGTTATATTTTATCCCATCGAGCAATTAGTATGAGATAAGTGAAGGGAGCATTATAGACAAACAAAACAAAAACAAAAAAAGAAGAAGGTAAACATTAGGGGTGTACGCGTTTAGTCAACTAAACTATTAAGCATTGTCACCCTTAATAGCCAGCACCTGAATTACTAGTAATAATAATCATTTATTTGCTGGCTCTCAATGGCGGTTGAATATTATGGCCAAACTGTATTGCAACCTCCCACAACTAGCAAGGACTACCACCAGTCTATATGGCTACAGCCTTAGCTTGGCAAGAAAAATTAACTGTATTTCCATAGACTGGTTGTAGCCCTGGCTAATGGGCCTTCTATTCTGGCTCTAGTGTCTGGATTTAATCAAGCACAATGAATGGATGGCATACCGTAAGGGCATTTTGATCAAGAAAATTGATATACAAATGTATGCAGGTTGTGTCCAGTTAAACTGGCATATCAACCGGAATAATGTTGTAACCACATTAGGACAGGAATGTGGACATTAACCTGCAAGGAGGACGAAAGGTCGGCAGCGCTAACACTACTAATGTTAGCCACATGAACCAAGTTACAGTATTCACCCACAGTTTTATTTTTGAGAGAATTCATTCTTTATAACTAGTCAACACAAGCAAATTAATTAACTTTAAAAATAAAATAATAATATTTTGTATGTTCAAAATATTTAGTTTAATTTTCATTGAGACATTCTTAGCTTTGTTCTCTGGAATCAAAGATGTATTAAGAATCAGTTGGTGCATAAGAGAAAAAGGAGTGCACTTCACCACCCGTTGTGTCAGTGAGCAGTGGCCTTTATTTTACAACATCATTAAACAGGGTTTTGATTTTGTTTTTCTCCACAGTTTGGCACTGCTGTCTGGAAGAAACCATGTCCAAAATGTTCAAACAGAAGCACTTATCTCCATGACTTTTCGCAGAATAATGATAACCATTGTATTTAAGTGCGTGTATCAGTTATAATAACTGGAGGTTACTATTACTGTGGTGATTGTCAAATGAGCAAGCAAGTGTGCATGTTAACACACTGAATAAGGAAAATAAGCCAGTCCTACTGTATTGTGCTCCTTTCTGCCAACAAAAGAAGTGTGTCCTTAAATGTATTGACATGTCTGGCTATACATATTTTTCTGTATTTTATTCTTTCCTTGTACATTATGCTATGGCACAATAGTATTGCTTTTGAAGGCTGTGGTTTATGAACATATTACCATCTAAAGAGCAGATTTTAAAATGAGTCACCAGGTTTCAAGAAAAACTAATTCCAAAGTGAGTTACTGCATTACTCAGACTATAAGAGAACATTTAATCATCTAACTAACAATCTTATCCAGTGTAACTAAATTCATTTGTGTACACATTTGGCAGCACAGGAAGTGAGAGCACACTGTCAAAGTCTGGGGGTCATATTGTCACCGATGACTCTCAGAAAGTGGGATATTATTAATTTGTTCCCTTAAGTAGCCCATTTCCAGATTAGCAATACCCAATATTATTTGCATAAAATGAAGCATAATGCCTCATACAGATTTTATGTTTTCTAATTCATTTCATAGTCAGGGTCTGCTCAGAAGATAATGTGTTCATTTACTTTTGAAGAACTTGTTTAAAAGGATGGGCAGATGGAAACTCTATTAAAATAAATAACATTTTATATTACTGGTGCTCATTTCATATTAACGTTGGGCAGAAAAAAATTACGTTAGGACACATTTTCCCATCATAAAAAAAGACGATATCTCCATTTTCTGCAAGTAAAATAATAAAATGATCAAAGAGCTTATTGCTCGATTTAGGAGGGACACAATGAAGCACACTTCTGGTATTTGCCTGAAATAATCATCTCACTGCCGTCTATGATGTTGGTTATTTGCCAGTGTAGTTGTTAAAATCATATAGTGAATTCAAACATGGTGGTAATGTTGCACCAAAAATCCAGAGGATCTCTGTTCTGCATTGTACTGTGAACCAAAATAGCACGACAATGTGAGATCATGTAAGGCCATGGTATCCTATTTCTATTGTCACACCTGGCTCAGTTTTCATCAGTCTGAGCTGCATATTGTACGCTGCAGCTGTCCTTTGAGCTTTATGCTAATATTAGCACAGTCCTTTTAATACATTGATCTATGTGTGGCAGCCCGCCAAAATATCAACATTGACCTCCACATATTGATTTTCTATTTTTTTTACTATTCAGAATGGGTGAAATCTTATTTCATGGCAGAGCTGTACGTGTCACATTCGCTCATTGCTTTTTCTTTCTCTGTCTCTCTCTCCCTCTAATACATTGACAACAGATGCGCCTGTGAATAACCCCCCCGCCCCTCACTGAACACTCTGAATGAAAACATGATCAAGCACAGCCCTGCAGCAGCACAATGTGAGGAAAATCATAATAAGATTAGTCTTAGGATAAATTAGGATAAATTCAGGATTGGTGGGAATTACCATTTTTGCATCAGAATTCTTATTTTCATGAAATCTATAAAAATCATAATGGTGTTATATTGGTTGGGGTCAGTAGCAGGCAAACATGTTTTCTTAGATGAAAATGTGTAAGATTTGTTTCTATGCTGTACTACGGCACTTCATTATACACTCACATTTATTGCTACTTCAGTAATATTTCGATTAATTGTGCAGCGCTACACAGGAGGAAAGATTGTTGTGAGCTTTTCGCCTGCAGGCAAGACTTCACCGTTCAATTCCTGAGTACAATCAATCCTGAGTTCATGCGTGGTTGGTATCGTGAACATTTGTCCAAAACTAATACTGCCAAGGTAGCTCTGACTAATGTGTTCTTAGATTAATGCTGTCGCTCTCAAAGAAGAAATTCTTCAAGTGAGTTATTTGAGCATGAGAATGGCCTCGCAAGCAACTAAGTAAAGATACTGGTAATCATTATCATCAAGGATAGTGCAAGAAGAGTGTGTCCATTGTAAGAAATGAATGGTAAGGAGAACATCCTGTGTCTGTGGGGACACGCCAACACAAACACTTGAAGGCTCTTTGTGATCATGGGTTACTTTTAATGGCAGATGTCCTTTTTCTATCGGAAAGGTATCCTTAAATGACTTCTTTCCCTACAATAGAGGCACAAAAAGCCCAAACATAAATCTTTTTTAAAAAAAAAATGGTTGGGGAAACACTGCATCATCTAATTTGTTTCAATGAAACAAAACTTTTGCTATACCCACATCCCTCAATGTTTAATGCTCTATACAACATAGGCTTAAGCAAGAATCTGGACTCTGGGTTCAGTTGCCCCTTGACACTGAAGAAACAAAATGAATTTATCATTATTTATCCAAAATTAAGATAATGTTAAGATTCTTACAGTATTTTCCAATACTAATATGATATCAAACCATCAATGGGGGCAGTTTAAATACAAATATTTTGATGTACTTTCTGTTTTTGGCAGCAGTAATATAGCTCAGGTTCTTCCCTCACAATCCTGAGAAAAAGCATTATGACAAACTATAAAAACATTCTAGGACCTGTTGCCTCTGGGTTATATGATGGTTATATAAATGGGTAAAGCAATAACAGAAGTAACAACTCTTAACACTTGTGTAAGAGAGAAATAATTTCGACCAAAGGAAGATTTTGATGGGAGACACCATAACTGGCCATCCTAAGAAACTGTATTCGACTACCACACTCCATTGCAGCTGCACATTATGGAAACATGACTGCTACTGGAGGCTCCGTAGTACAGTATCAGCTTTGTGAGAGTGTTTTAAGGATGGGATTTTATTTACGCCTCAATTTCAAGCAACACAAACTTGCAGGACACACTTTATAGAATTACAGCTGTAGCAGCAGCAGTAAGCAGCCAGATACCGCTGAGCCAAGTAATAACTGCAACTTTAAAATCGATTCTGTAATGAAACCAGTGTAGAGAAGCTGTGAAAAAAGAGGCTGATATGGATGAATGAAGTGTGTTTATTCTCTATCAATAATAAGCAACTTATTGGCAGAAGAATTACTCACAAACTGGAGTTGAGTCATCGCTTGTTCAGGACAAACAACAAATTATTGCCAAAGGAAAGAAGAAGTAAGAAACAGCAGTGTGCGCTATCTCTTCAATTTTACATGCTTGATTAAATGCTGCCCTAGTTTAAAGCTAAAGTCATAACGTTCTGAATTAATTTAGGCCAACTTGATGTACAGTTTTAGGGCTGTGAAACATTTTTTGTACAGATGAATTCTGGCCGTCACGAAGGCAAACAGTTGCGATAAGAGGCATTTTGGAATATTTTCCTCATATATTGTCAGGAAAGAGATTAAGAATAATCACACAGCCAAGAAATAACCTGAGGGGAGAAAACTAAAAGAACTTCACAAGTAAATAATGGAGCAGAAGAAATAAACACGCCTAAGGACCTAACGTTTTCTCTTTGACAGGTAAGATGGAAGCTACATCTGGGTGTTATTATGAGCCGTCAAAAGACACACTCAATTAAAAATCAATTTGAAGGAGTACATTGGTGTTGTAAGACCTTAAAAACTACTTAAACTTTATTTGCTCATATCATTCATTCACCAACTTATTCTTTTGATAGATTTTCGTAATCTCATTATATATTTGATCACTTGAATTTTCTCAAGTCCTGTTTAAATCTAAACATGATCTAATACATGTTCATTACACATATAAGAATTTTTCTCTATGAATTGTTGACTGTAACACACTCCAGTCAAGACAGAGGGGGTAATGTGACAAAAACCTGCCAAAGATGTCGAGAGAAATCGCTAGCATCCTCTTGTTTCCAATGTTTAGCTAGCAGGAAAACAACCAACTATTACAAATAGATAAATGATTTCAGTTCTCACTTAGTTGCATCCATTATCACTGGCCACAATGACAACGTCATAGCCCTGGATTGATTTCAATTTTATTATTTTATGCATGGCCCAAAACTGGCTTACAAGACCTCTTTGGAAAAAGGGACAAAAGACCCCAGTAGAAAATAGAAATGTAAATATAAATTACGAATAACACCGGGCACCAAACTATCAGGATTTCAAACAGTCCATGCCAGTTTCACAAACCCTGTCAATATTTCATGACTCCTCCTCAAGGTGGCGCTCATGACATGAGTAGGGGTACCATGAACGGAAGTTTTTTTGGAAGAGAGAATCTCAGTGAATCTACCATTATATGATTGTCTTGTAATATATCAATTATCAAAGAATCGCTGTATCATGAAACCATTGTACAGGCCATTTATCCTGAAACTTATCATAGCAAGAGTTACCCTGTGCCATAGTTATACTTGATTTGGATACAACATTATTTTTTTGTTTTTAATAAGAAATGATAAAACCATTTTCTTCTGATCCCAACACTCAACGCTGTGTTGCCACTTTATTTTATTCATTTTTCTTGATAGATTTTCGGGGTTTTTACACGTTTACTGGAGAAACAGGACAATGAGTAGAGTCAGAAATTGGAGAGAGAGAGAGATAGAGTGAGGAAAGATATGGGGCAAAGGAGCCAGTCGAACCGCTTGAAAGACTACAACCTCCGTACATGGGGCTTGGCACTAACCACTAGGCTATTGGCACCGTTGCAAATTCCTTTCTTTTGAAATCAGTATGAAGCTCTTACGCTTATGGAGAATCGTTTAAATGGAGAAAAAGAAAAAGCTTTTTATCAACCCCGTTTTCCGGAATATTAGCTTCAGTCTTTATTTAGATTTGCACCTTATTGTGCCCTGGAAGTGCTTTCTTCCATATCAACGACTGATGTAGTGACAGCTGTGGGAAGATAAGAGTGGAAAAACATCAGACCATAATGCTTCTCAAACCACCTCAGACAGCCATCCATCTTTTATTGTTGTTGGTTGCAGTTACACAACACTGAATAGCAATTCGTGCCTCCCAAAAACACAAGAAGTCCAAATAAGATGAATAAGCATGTCTATTTTATAATTCATACTATTTTACTTTTCACATTCAAGTCAATCCTTTTTTTCGTACTTAGAAGTAAACACAGAACACGCCATCTTAAACTAAAAGCTTTTTCAACTACTAAGCGTCCCTGTCATAACTGTCTATAACTCTGTGAAGGAATACTTATGACAGAATCAGGTCATGCAACAAAGTACAATGATGGCAGTAATTGGAAGCTCTTCTGACACACAAAAGCATTCATGGACAGTTTTTTTTTTTTTGGGAAGCTGAACCTTGACAAGAAGAACATCGACAAAATGTCCCCAAAACAAGAGAAACAGCTATGTCTCAGATATTTCTGTCTGAGAGGACAGAATGACCTTGACTGGTTTTTGCTCGTTACATTTTCCAATAGGCAGAGTGGAGTGGCACTTCATTACACTTAACAAGGCTCAGTTGCATCCACAAGGAGGCACCTGTTCCACCTGACAGAGTAAGTGGATGTGTGGCTAATGTAAACATCCAGAGTCTGACCTGACCGTGTTTCAGCTCACAGCTACCATAACTTTCTCAACACGCTGATGGAAAAACATATTCTTGTAAGGACTATAAGAAAGGTTGGATCACAACACTGACTTCCCTGAATAATGTTATGGTTATGCAGAGCAAACTTTGTCGGCGTGTGTGCCAACATGCGTGGCCAAGGTTGACTGGCCATCTGGACGAGTGGGAGTCGAAGTGACCAGCCAG